TTTATTTATTTATTTATTTATTTATTTATTTATTTATTTATTTTTTCCTTCTTTCTTTCTTTCTTTCTTTCTTTCTTTCTTTCTTATTTATTTATTTATTTCAAATTTAGTCACTGCCCATCTCATTCAAAGAGTGATTCTGGTCAGTTTACAATTTAAAGCAATGTATGAATCAATATGAAGTAGTTTAAGCCAAACAACGGCAATCTGCCCATTCATAAATTAGGTGATGATTTGATCGAAGATGTCCCTGGTCCTAACCTGGGCACTGTAAGTCACTACATATTAGCTTGGTTCTTTATTTGATTTCACCTAACCTATTTCTGTATTGGTCAAGGTAGGTGGCAGCATCTAGGCAACACTGGCTAATCTTTTTTCTTTTTTTAACCAATTTTAGCTCTGGTTAGTACTTTGAATGGAAGATCACCAGAACATCCCAGGCTTATAGTCTAAACTGGAAAGTTGAAAAACATCCCAGAAGAAGACAGTGGGAATCTACTTTTGCATTATTGCCTTTTATTTTCATCTCAGTTGTGATATGGTTCCAAGGAAGCCTGACTTCAAAGGGATTGAGAACAACCATGGAGGAAAAGAGAAACAAAACAGAAGCAGAGCCAAACCTGCTATAGTATGTGATACGGGAAAAAAGCATGTGTTAAAATAGCCACTCTTTATTGAGAAGGTGCAAGTATTCTTACCAAACCTAAAAAATTAAGCCAAGGGATCTCAGAAAAGGAGCCATAATCTGCTCTAGTTTTCCAAATTATTCAGTACATTCCCTGAGAAATATTGACCAACTACAAGATACTCTTCCACATCCATACTTCTTTTTAAAAAGAAACCTTATAGCAGCAGACCCTTATACAGTGAGTAGTACTAGATTTTGGAAATTAATTTAACTTCTCAGTCAGGAGAACAACCACTACAGACCACCCATAAATCTTGATAGACTGCAATCCTATACCTTCCTTCCTCAGATACATACACACTGAAGTTCTCAACTTTCTTTACAAGTCCTCCTCTCTCCATATGCCTTTTCCTCCATAGTTATTATCTGCCAGTTGTATAGTCATGTATCTTGATTATGGAACAAATAATGGAAAAGTCAAACTCAAACACATGTCAGCACAGCATGATATTTTGACCTTAGTCCACATATATTTTCATACCAGGTGCTCAAATTATTTACTTCTTCTTGCTTTGATTACATGATGCACCTTCTGAAATGCACATGTACTGGCTTCTGCCTACTCCAGAATCCTGAAGAAAACTCTCCAAGAACTTCTCTTAATTTTTATATAGTATTCTGATATATCTTTGCACATTATTTTAGTTGTACTATACTTCATAACTGAAGGATTCCTCAAAAAACTTTTTTTTTTGCTCTTTAAAGCATATTTTTCAAACAACTACATGATGCCATCACTCTTTTTTCCCCCCAAATTTCACTTTTCTATTAAAATTTTGGTAAAACTTTCCTAGTTTTCATGCTCTATGTAACTTCACCTATCCAGCTGAAGCAACTTCATGCTGCTTTCCTATTTACTGCTATCTGTACTTTTCTTGCATTTCCTCTGAGTCATATTATATTATAATTTGCCAAGAGCATATATCTGTCTTCATGTACTTTGCAATGCATTACATACACTTACAGTGCTATGTAAACTCTAAGGCAATAATACTATACAGCAAACATTTAAGTATCATTATAGCTATTGGGTTGTGTAAACATTTTATCATTATTTGAGAAATGTACTTTTGACACATTCTTGCACCATAAAAAATAACAAAGTAAATGATTGCAAAATAACTTAGTGAATACATTAAAAAAAAACTGGAAACAATGCTGAGATAAGAGTTCTGGACATTAAAAAAAATATTTTGAGTTACCTTTTAAAAACAAACAATGCTGAAAAATCAAAAAATGAAATGCCTCCTTCACTGAGCCCATCAAGAGAGCAACAAATACTAAAAATAAAATAAAATGCTGAATATAACATTGTAGCACTACATGTAAAATTTGTTTCAGTTCTAAAAAAATCAACTACATTTCCAGGGAGACCTATTCTCAACACCAGCTGTTTTATTCCAACTGTACCTAGTAAAATTAAGGTATAGAAAGGAGAAAAAGGCCTACATTTATTTATTTTTTTCCTTTTACAGTTACAATTTTGCCAGTGCTGTTCTGAGAACAGAAAGAAGAAATGATATAGGTTCCATATGGACAGCAGACTTTTTAGCCTGGCTGACATTCACTACTTGGAAACAATGCACACATTACAGATGTACTTAATTTTGCCATCACTGCAAGCCACAACAAATACACTAAGTCATCTAGTAGGGTTCCATCCCCCACGGCTATAGTTGTATCCCCCCAACACACAAAAGCTCCACTTCCATGTACACATCAATTGACATAAGAACACAGACTGAAAGCAAGTTAGAATACTGTTTGGGTCTTTAATTATGTGTTTTAAGCAAGTTAGCAAGAAGTAGTTTTGGGTTTTGGATGTACGCCTAAAGAGAGTGCTTTGCATTCACCCTCCCCCACCAAATGAAAACAAAGAAAATATTTCTTATTAAATATGACAATGCAATGCTTCTTCAATAAACAATAGAATAAATCTCTTTAAAACATGCTTTTAAAAATATCTTTATCCCAGTATTTCCCTTTCTTTCTGTATAAAACTCATTCCAAGCATTTTTTTAATGCTCCACTTGGATAGTTCTCATCAGAACAGAAGAACCAGAATCAAATAATAAAGCATTAAAATTAAAAGAGACTGACTTACACTTTTGCTAGCATAATTTGTTATTCCAGGAAGAACTTTTAATTTGGGAGCTTTTACACTACAGTCCTGGATTTTATTTTCCCATTTTCCTGTACTTTTAAAAATGGCTGAG